TCTGGAAGAGGACTCGCGTCCATACTTACATGGATCCCTACCAAATTTTCATTTGGATAGGGGCAAAAAGATGCCAAAGTAAAAAATGATTACCGTCTTGCATGAGCCATCCTTTGCGGATTGAAGGGTCTAGGGAAGACTAGAATTCACTTCAAACGCATAACATATGGACATGTAAGATTGGATGAGGGCTGGTTCTCACCGGCATACCCCCACGTGGGAAGATTGGGTTGGCTAGGTCAACCTAATGATTAGAGAATGACACATTAAAAAAACTTAAAACCTGGAAGAGGGGCCCTGGAAGAGGGCTGAACCTTGGAGAGGGTTCGCGATCATAGGACATGGTCAAAATCTCCGAAGAAAGTTCGGGTCTTGATGTTGAGACTTGATGATACCAAAACCGATTCGGATTATTCGTTCGAAATTTGAGCAAGGTTACTGATAGGCATGACATCCAGGCCAAAGGGGTAAAGGAAAGTGGCATGGTCAAAAGTGACCGGTCACTTCTTGGATGTTCTTGATTGGCAAGAAAAGGCGAATGGGAAAAAGCAAAATTTGACCGGTCAACTTTGAGAAAAGTGACCGGTCACTTTTTTAAGGGTTGGATTTGGAGAAATCAGACCAATCTGGAAAAGTTTAATTTTGACCGGTCATATATTTGACCCGGCACCTGGACAGGAAATTTGACGTCATGCTGGTTACATATTGCAACCAAGCCACTAGAACCTGGAAGTTGACTGGGTCAGAAAACAGGCGAGGAAGAAACCGACCTAGACGTTTTCAAGTCAAGAAACCAGGACATGAGATGACCTGAAAGTTTTCAAGCCTTGCGTCTAAAGTGGTCTTCAAAACTTCCAACCTAGCCTACTACACCAGGACATGAGATGACTTGGACGTTTGTTGCAGTTCAACCTAGACATAAGCCGGTCCAGAAGACTAGTCAGGCATAAAGTGATCTGAACGTTCTCAAGGCTACAAGATCTGGACGTTTTCAAGGTTGCAAGACTTAGATGTTTTCAAGGCTTGTACTTGACCAGGACATAACATGACCTGGACATTTTCAAGAGATGGAATTGACCAGGACATGAAAAGACCTCGACGCTGTCAACAAAGCCTACCAGACCTAGACATTTTTAAGGCGTTAACCAAAGACCAGGACATGAGGTGACCTGGACAACTACAAAGGATAAGACCGGTTATTGTTTTTGACTTGGAAGTTAAACCAAGCATGTTCAAGAAAAGGCAAGTCTGAGCATGCAACTTCAAGTAAGGACCAAACAAGGAAAACAACCATGCAAGAAATATTGAGCAAGCGAGAGAAAGGAATCAAACCATGCAAACTGAAAGAAGAAACAAGCCGGTAAATTGAAAACCATGCCAAACAAAAGATAATATTACACAAGTTAGAAGTAGGCCGGACATCCCCCAAGCCTTGGGAAAATTCAAAGTTTTTTCAAATCAAACCCTAACCTACTCTAGGGGAAAGGGGGGAGCTGGCTCTTCCTTATACAAGGCCGGGAGCTTCATTTTGGCCGGGTCAAAGGAGGGGTCCCTCTTTTGGAGTCTGGAATATAGAAGAGACCTCTCTTCATTTTGACCACACTGGAACCCATAAGACCCGACGTCTGTTATCATTCTCTTTCCTTCCGGTTCCTTATACATGACTTTGAAAAAATCCATGGTGTCCTGCGGATTGGTAGGAATGGACCGGGCGACTTCAGTGTGATGGCAGGCGGCCCAAATCGCAGCATCATCAGGAAAGGCCTCCTCTTTTGACCGGGCAGTCTCTTCAGCTTGGGCCAAAGCATCTTCCAGCTCTGCCACCTTCCTCTCCGCCTCCACCAACTTGGCCCTTTCCTCCTTTAACCTGTCCTTTTCAGCGATCAGCTCTTCTTCCAGCTTCTTCTCCCTCTCAACCCGGTCATTGATCTCTGACTTAGCGGAGTCAATGAGGAGGGTGAGCTCGGAAACCTGGTCCTTCGGTTCAACGATTGACCGGCCAACTTCTTCAGATATAATTCCAGCCTGGAAAACATGCCTATCAGTAAAAGCAAGGAAAGAATTTAACCGGGAGAAAAATTAGAGTTGGTACCTTGCTAAGTTTTTTGGCCAAGGACAGGAATGTCACTTCGATGGACTACCCTTCCAGATCTGATAGCCTTACCTTCTTCCTCTTTTCCCCCTTGGAAGTCTTGTGGGAACCCTTCCTTTTCTGAGAGGAGGAATGACCGGTCCCTTTTCCTTTGGCCTTGACATCCTTCTTAGGAGAAGGGACCCGGTCACTTTCAGAGAGATGAGTGGCTGGAGGAGATTTCAGCTTCTGGCTCTGTCCATGGATAGGGCTACACCGGGCACTTGTGGCCCCATCCATTTCAGGGAAGTGAGGAGGAGAAGGAGGCTTGGAGAGAGGAGACCGATTGGAGTGGAGGACTTGGACATCATCGTCGTCATCCTCGATGATGGTGGTCATCCTGTTGAAGTTCATGTCTGAAAAAGAACAAAGCAACAGATGACCGGTTATTTTTCAAGCCTTGTACATAAATAAAGAAAATGAAAGTAAGAAGCTTAAGAGAAGATGATCGACCTGGACGAGGAGAACTGGCCTCAGCATGACCATCCGGGGAGTTTGCCCGGTCATCTTCTGCGTCATGGGTCGCAGATTCACCCCCATCCGGATTAGGTAGCCGGAATACCCAGCCTCCATAGGCATAAGGTTTCCCGGTCACAGGATCACCCTTGAGAAGTTTCTCGCAGGCGTCCTCAAGATCTTTGGTGGGCTCCGGATGAACCCTTTCAGGTTTTATAACCCGTTCAGCCCACTCAGGGTTAGAGAAAGGAAATTGGTGAGGGGGGAACTCAACAAAAACAAATCTTTTCTTCCATCTTTTGTGGCTAGGGGGAAGACCGGTCACAAAACTCCTCTTATTACAAGAATGAAAATAAACAAAGCCCGGGCAATTACTAGTCCCGGGCAAGACTTCGTACATGTGGAGGAAAAGCTCAAGGGAAGGGTCGATTTTCAGATTTTCACAGATATTAACAAAACAATTTAAGAACCGGTGAGCGTTTGGAGTAAGCTGACCGGGCAAAATATGAAACTTTTTACAGATTTCAATAAGGAGGGGGCGGAGAGGAAAAATAATACCTCCCTCCAGAGAAGCAACATGAAAACCCAACCGGGTTCCCTGGTGGGGTTCAATGATGTTGGGCCAGGTGGTTTTGGAAAGGACTTTGTAGCCCGGTGGGAGGATGGTACGGACCTCGTCCAGAACCTTTTTGGTAACCCTATAAGACTCTTTGAACACCAGTCTAACATCAAGGGCTAGGAAGCCCAAGGATCCCAGTCGTTCTTCCCATTGCTCCCAGCTAAGGACCTTGGGATTGAATCGACCGGGCAGTTGATTCAAAGGGACAGGGTCCTCGGCAATTATTTCCCGGGCCTGAGAATTAGACTGTTGGGAGGGGCGACGAGTCAAAGGAGTGACAGGGGGAGAAGAAGATTCAGAATGGGAAGAGGAAGAGGGCTGAGAGCCTGATCCATAGGATTGGCCAGATATGTTTTGGCTATCAGAAGACATGACTTAGGCCTACCGGTCAAAAATGGAAAGATGGAAGAATTAAAAGACTAGGAGGACTGGAGGACTTACTTGGCAGAGAGCTAGAGAGAGAAAGTTGACCGGGCAAATCAAGAGAAGCGAAGGAGGAAATCGAAGAAATGAGATGGGTTGGAGGAGTATTTATAGGAGAGAGGGAGGCGGTTTGGAACTCGAGGCGACAGGTGGGAGAAGGACAGCTTGACACGTGGAAGAGGTAATGATTAGGGGGGAAAATTTTGAATTTTGAATGGTAAGGTGGAAGGTTTTGGAGGGAAATTCCAAAAACTGAAGGGTCAGGGCCAACGTTTGGACTTCCACTAACCAGAATGGACAGGTCATGCAGCGTATTCCACAAATCCAAAAGTGCCAGGTCTGATATGAATACGATGAATCCAAGAAATGGGCAGGTCTCCATAGAAAGGTCATGAGGATGGCTTGACAATAAAAAAAAGACACGTCAACGAGAATGATTTGACGGTTCCAGAAGAAGACAAGTCTGAACGGAAAGGTCAGATAATTCTAAAAGCGACATGTCTAAAAGGACAGGTCAACGAGAATGCCATTATGAATTTAAAGAAGGACAGGTTTTGAAAAGGAAAGGCTTGACAATTCAAAGAAAGACAGGCCTTGAAAGGGAAAGGTTTGATGATTCAAAAAGACAGGTCATGAGAGAGACTAGGCGATGAGAAAGGACTGGTCAGCAAGGGTGACTTGATGATTTCAAAGTGTGATAGGTTAACACAAGTATACTTCCCGCCCTTGATAATTTCCTCACAAGGCCGGTAAATGGAGGACTTCTTGATGGGTATATCCTTATACCCGACCCGGATAACCGAAAGGGACAGGTCAAAACATGACCGGTCACTTTTATCAAGTCACCAAATGATGTTAACTCTTCGATTGGGAAGGGTCAAAAGTTGACCGGTCACTTCCACTAAAAAAGTGACCGGTCACATTTTGGGCGTTAGCCAATTCGTCACTTCATGTTACGAAGGATAGTCCAGAGGACCAAAGAGACGGGTCGAACTCAAGAAATGACCGGACAACCTTGGAAGAAAGCTGACCGGTAAGGTTGCGTCACTTGGGAATGGCAATCAACATCAAAGGCCAGGGGACCACCCCGCCGTTCGGCCTTCACGAGGCAAATAGTGAAAGGAACATTTGTCACTTTGCAGGGCTGATTGGATTGAGAATATCCATTTATAGTCTTTGATTGAACAGTACATGTCTTGGCTTGTAGTTGCTAAATTCATTGACTGAATAGTAGATTGATTATGTACAGTGACCTTCCCACGGGCTTCCTATTTTGTCCATGGATGAAGAGGGAAAGGACACAAATCCTTCTCTATAAATATGATGATATGGGATAGAGGAGGGGATCCAATTTTTCTCTCACTAAAGTTCACTCTTGAGATAGAGTAAGAAATATAATTCGGACTAAGGAGATTTACCCGGTCTAGGTCATACTTTGTGTTCTTGTTGTGTGTTTTATATTACGGGTCGAGTGTGTCCAGGTCAAACCCGGTTAACCCACCCAGCTATATTTACACCATCAGACATGTTTTAATAATAAAATAAATGTGTAAAATAATTTTTGATAATTAAAAATTATTAAAAAGTATAAAAATAGAGAAAAAACAATAACTTGTCATTGTATGTTACGACACTCCACTCATTTGTCACACGGTGACTGAGTTATTTTTTATTAGTTGAAATAGTCCATGTCACCGTGTGACATTTAATTTTTGCCTTTCCATCGCTAATGTTCTTACACTCCATTCGTTCCAACAAAAGAAATTCTACTCATTAATCACTCATTATTCATGTGACCAAATTTTGATATTTTATTTTTCTTTATTTTCAATACTAATTTGATGAAATTATATAACATCATAACATTTAATTTGTATAGCTTTTGATCTAATTTTTAAATGAGTTATATATGTTTTCACTCTCTGTAAAAAAAAGCTACTTTGCTTTTAGTCCATTTAAAATATTTTATGATTAAGTAGTCCCTGGAAAATACAGGATTTGGCAAAGGAGCATGCTAAATGTATCCCAAAATTTGTACCTCATTTGTACACTAAAAGTATGCACTAATATTTTGATGCTTCACACTGACACAAAGTGTTTGTGTGTTTACAAAAACTTACACTGACACAAAGTGTTAGTGCGTTAATAAAAATTAACATTACATCAACACAAAATATTGGTACATTCCTACGGTATACAAAATAAAGTACAAATTCTTGGGATACATATATTATTTTCCTTTTACAAATGGTCCTTCAAGTAAGTTTTATTTAATTTAGATCATTATTGAATATGTTTTTGGTCTCTTTAAAATTAGCGATTTCATCTCTCGTCAATCTTAACTTTTTTAAATCCAAAACTATTTTGTTTTCAATTCCAGTAAGTCTTAACACATTAACTCCAAATCAAGGGGAAGACCATTTGTAAAAAAAATATATACTCCATATGTCCTAAAACTAACTTTCTTCTATATTTACGATATTTAACTGAAATTATTTTCAATTCAATTAAATAAAAAATTGGCATGGACTTTAAAAATAAAATTTATATTTATAAAAACTATATCAAAATATCTACAAAATTTGAGTAGAAATTACTACAAATTTTAACAAATACTGAATAAGTAAATAAAATAGACTCATAAAGTGAAAAAAATTGACCCAATGAATAGTAAGTGTTAAGAGTATCCCACATCGGAAAAGTGTGAGGAAAATAATCTGTATATAAGCTCTTGAGTTGAACTAACTAATCAATTGGATTCAATCTTTTAATGTGGTTCAGCCCAAGTGTCTTATTACCCATAATTCGGTATATAAGCTCTTGAGTTAAACTAACTAATCGATTGGATTCAATCTTTTAATATGGTTCAGCCCAAGTGTCTTATTGCACAATTCAGTTGTCCATACCCTATCCAAGTGTCTTATTATATATATATATATATATATATATATATATATATATAATGAATATACAATAACATTAATAACATTATACATCCAAATTTATAACATATCATCTCAAACACGGACAATAATAAATTCTTTTCATCTAAAATTAGAATTTTCTTATATATTAATTTGGGTGATCATTTAATTGAGTAAAGTAATTTTTAATTCAATTTTTTCAAATTTTTTGTGGCAAATTTTAAAATAAATATTATATAATTAAAATAGATTAGATATGTTTTTAGTCTCTGTAAAATGAGTAATATTAAAAAATCACCTTAAAGAGGAGTAAAAAATAGAAAAGTACCAAAATAGGAGTTCTCTGTTTTATTTCTTAAATATGAATTTGCACTATGGTAATGTAACAATTTATATTTGCATTTTATTATATTCTTTAGTAGTGTATATGGTCATGATTGGTAATATATATGCATTTTAACTTCTATTTCAGCAATAAGAATATGAAATTCTTATTTTGGTATATTTGCAATGTTTTTCTCTTATTTTAGTTTTTTTCACAGTGATATTTTCTTTTGGTCCTAAAATGTTTTTTAACAAATTCATCCCTATATTTGGATACATACTCCATACGGACAACTGGGCTAAAGACAAACGGACCGCTAGGAATGAATGTCTAGACACCTTGACAAACGAGGTGGGCCAAAACCTGCTCTGATACCAGAATGATAGAATTTGGGATGAGATATTGACAACTGAATTGGGTAATAAGACACTTGGGCTGAATCACATTAAAAGATTGAATCCAATCGATTAGTTAGTTTAACTCAAGAGAATATCTACCGAATTATTTTATTCTTGGACTTCCGATGTGGGATGCACTTTAACATATATATATATATATATATATATATATATATATATATATATATATATACTCCCTCCGTCCCATATCTTTCTTCTCACTTTCCTTTTTGGTTCGTCCCAATTCTTCTTGTTTCCTTATTTGGCAAATAAAATATGCTGAAAAGACTTATTTACCCTTTCTTTCCTTTTCTTCTCCCCCCTTCGTGGCTTCCTCCCTTTTTTCACGATTTCTTCCGTCTTTTTTTTCGTCTTCCTTTGGACGGATCTTTTGATGAAGGTGAAGAAAAATTGGGGAAAGGGGCAGTGACAAAGCTTCTCCTACCTTCCAGATCTCTGTTCTTCTTAATTTCAGATCTGCTTTGACATCTTATTTTTGAATTAAAAACCGAAGTACCCTTGGTTTCTTAATTCTCTATCACTACCGTGCCGATGAAACGTCCAGATCGAAGAGATGGATGAGCAGATCTCAGAGCGAAGCTTCCAGATTTTTTAAGATTCTCATCCCAATCAAGATTTTTTTAAATTGGTTTGAAGATGAAGAATTTTTTAAAAAATTCAAGATTTGATTATTGATTTCTTGATGATATCAACACTAGATTTAATTTTGATTCACTTTTGATTTCATTTTGTATTTCGAATTTTATTTTGTTGAAGAAGAAGATGAAAAGATTTGATTTTGTTGAAAAAAATGAAATTTAATTCTTTTGAAGAGATGAAAAGATTTAATTTTTGTTTAAGAAGATGAAGATATTTGATTTTGTAGAAGAAGATGAAAGAGATTTCATTATACTCTCTATTAAGATGAGAAGAATGTCATCTCACTAAAGTCAATCACTATATATCTTATATATTCTTTATTATAATAAAGGAGACTCGGATGCATGAGAATGCGACATTTGGCATGCTTATTTGGCAAAAATTTGTACACGTCACCAAGCTACGTAATAATAGTAAGAATAAAAGAAAACAGCGGATCTGAGGAGTTTTAATTTCGCGACAGTCGCCATGGAGATCTGCCGCTAGAGATTTTTCGCACTTAACTCTCCTTTCCATCTATGGTCGCTGGAGAAACGGAAGAAATTGGATGATCTTCCGATATAATCCCTGTAGATTTTCGAATTCAAGGCTCCTTTCCTTCTATGGTCGCTGGAGAAACGGAAGATATTGGATGAAGATCTGTCGAGATAATCCTGGAGATTTTCAAATTCAAGGCTTCTTTCCTTCTATGGTCGATGGAGAAACGGAAGAAATTGGAGAAATGCTGGGATTCGCTGGGATTCAAAACTACTTGCCAGAAAAAAATATATGTCACTCCATAAAACTACTTTTATGGAGTGACATATATTTACCCGTGCATTGCACTAGAGATTTCATTATACTCCGCATTAAATTTTTTTCATTATAATGCTTTTTTTAGTATAACACATACCTTATTTATATTAAAAAAGAAAAAACTGAATAATAATTTGACTTTTCCAAAAATTTAAAAAATAACTTAATAAATTAATGAAAAAAATTTAAAAAAACATGTGGTTGAGATTTATTTAAAAAAAGAAATGATACTCAAATTATTTTCCTTAACAAAAAGAAAATGGTAAAATTTAAAATTTATTTTTAATTTTTTTTAAATAATAATAAGAAAAACGAACATATCTTTTATATACCCTGAAGTCTTTCTGAAAATTTGGTATTAATTTTTTGTGTGTTGTACACAATCAATCCCTCAAATATTATTTATTCCACTTTGGTTTTTTTATGATATTAAATATCATGCGAGAAGTATATTTTCTTTATTCTTGAAAAAATATTGCTTTAAATTTTATTTAGAATCGACAAAAAATTTTGTTCCACCCGTGCATGACACGGGTTCAAATACTAGTATATATTATATATATATGTAAAAGAGAGTTCCATGGTTACTTTTTATTAACTTTTCAACAATAGAAACTCATTATTTTTATTAACTTCTTACAAAGTTTTCGCTCTCTCACTATTTTAGAAATATTTTTTCACTGTTTTTACATATTTTTTAAATATGCGTGACTATTTTATAATTTAAAAAAATTATATAAAATTTATTCATAAAAAACAATATTGTTTATAATTCCATCATCTCAAAAGAAACTATCATATATAAATCTTATCACACGTACATCTTTATTAACTTCATAACATATTTTAATTTTTTTCTCATTACATTACTTATTTCATTATATATTTTTACTAAACAAAGTAAAAGTATAACTGAAGGATTACATGAGACACGTGACAAATATGCATTATCTAATGATGTGTCATTGCTTAATTGATCTATTTGAGATTTTTATTTTAATTTTCTTTAAATAAAACAATTTTCGTTATTATTTTATTTGAT